ACCCACGGGATAAACCCATCTGGTACCAGTGTAAATAAGACAGCAGAACACATGCAAATCAGTGTAGCAGGGTTGGGCTGTGGTTAGCCATAGGCTCCGGTTGTGTATCGCCCAACAAAACTCACCTGCCCAAACCTGTCAGAATTCCGCCCTGATGTTAATCATTGAACGCTTTTCTCTTGAAGTTTTAATCGTCATTTTCTTGGCAAAGGCCGGCCTCTAAAGTGGGGGAGATGGTTCTCACATAAAGTAACCATTTCTCGTTCTGAACATACGTGGTGACTACAATATCCAGCTTCTCACAGAACTGTGACAGGTTATCAGCAACGTGGCCACCTGAGCCGATATTAACAACCTCGAGGTGGCATTGGATGCACGTTCCCGGAAGTACTTAAAGTGAGAACGCTAAGAATGAAATCCACCGAGCGCTTGCGAGCACCGAGGACTCTTATCGATGAGGCAAGAGAACATCCATGACCATCTTGCCACCTTTCGGATTACCCAACGGAGGTGAAGACGTTCTGAAAAATGTTCTTCACTTAGGGACAAACAATAAACAATAAATACTGTGTTCGTAGCCACCAACACCCACTGACAAAATTTGCTGAACACTCAATTAGAAAGGGCCATACTCGCCATGTGAGAACTGAAGACGGTAAAAGCGAACCTCACGATATGAAAACCAGTGTCCAGGCTTCAAAGACACATTTAGTGATTCACCCGGAAGATTTCAACACCTTAATTAATTTAATGGTTACAAAACATTCGGTGGAATAATCTACCCGGAAACCAATACCCGAGTAAGCAAGGTACCGGCAATACCAGCAGCATATTACATATGAAGGAATGAGACAGGACGTTCAATGACCAAATATGTATTCAAAAGGTATCAGGAACATTTACAGGTTCAGCTTTGTCCTTCGCCAATGACGCCGCTTAGCGTTGTACCTAAATAACAAGCTGGAAGAGCACAAAAGTCGTAATACCTTATTTTGTTCCCTGTCCGTAGCCTCGTCCAGTGTGGCAAGGTTCTGTTCTGCTTTTGTTTTTTTCCAAGCTTCGTTTTAATCCTCCACGTTTTGTGGGACGCCTAAAAGGGCATAGAGACTATAAGGTCAACCCACCATGCCGAAGTTTTTCAAGCAGTGCGCTCTTGTTGTCTGCGGTGATTTAAACTGGGAACTTGCAAGCTGTCGGATTCTCCTGAGAAATGAGAATGTTACAATTATGTCCCTTTGAATTTCTCGTTCGACCTAGTTGAATGACGACTTCAATTCTGCTGTACAAACTAGTGGACTGGATTGATAACTGTGTTACACATATGTCATGTCAGATTAGATCAGGTCAGGTTGCATAGGACGGAAAAGGCTTTCGCCAACCAAGAGTCCAGATTCTTGCTTCGGTCGGAAGGTTTCTTCTCCCAAAGCTTCAAAAACCGTTTCAGTCGCTGTCTTGCAACTGTTTTGCGGCAGGAAACTTTTTACAGTACGATATCTGTAAGGGAGATTATTTGGAAAAAAAGTAGCACGTCAACACTAAACAATTTCAGACCCTGCTTCTATACTACCTCTGGATAAATTTGGGTCCAAACCCTGTCTAACCGCCTCTTGAAATCGACTGTAATCGCACATTCCATCATATGAGGTGGTAGCTGACATCTCTTTTCACCCACCTATGGGGAAGAGTGACCATCTTATGATAAGAGTGTCACTCAATTCACAGAAACCCAAAGCGTCTAACCGGAAAGTTAGGAACTTGAGCAGAATGGATATGAGTAGCCTGCATGCACGAGCCCTAACTCTAGAATGGGGAGCAGAAAATGATCAAATAACAGTAGAGGCTCTCTGGCATAGAATCAAAAGGAACCTACAGGAACTTCAAGATGAGTTCGCACCTCTCAAAATTGGGAAAGGTTTTAGTAAGCCCCCATGGTGGTCTCCGGCAATAAGAAGAGCAATAGGGAAAAGAAACCAAAGCTGGAGACACTATCGGGAGGTCAACACCCAGCTGCCGTGGGCAAACTACACGATCCAAAGAAATAGGACAGTCAGCCTTATAAGAGTTGAAAAGAGAAAATATGAACTTAAGTTAGCGAAAAATATCAAGCAAAAACCGAAAAGGTTTTTTAGGTACGTTCAATCGAAGGTAAACTTGAGGAACGCCATAGGTGCCTTAGTTCTGGATAATAACACGATTGCAGCAGACGATCACAGCAAGGTAGTTGCACTAAGCAACTAGTTCGCTAGTGTTCACAGGTTAGACAACCGAACAATGGAACCTAGAGCCCCGACCCCTCTTCCACCGAGTATAAGGGAGATGCACATATCTGCAATGGAGGTACAGAAGGTGTTAGAGGAACTTGATATCAATAAGGCCTCGGGTCCCGATGGCATACATTCTGCCATTGTGAAACCCATTGCTAATATATTGGCAAACCCCTTAACAGTGCTGTTTCGAAAACCATTGGAGGAGGGTGTGCTTCCGGGTGACTGGAAACCTGCCGTTGTGGTGGCGTTGCATAAAGGTGGTAGTAGATCTAACCCACACCACTACAGACCGGTTAGCATGACTAGTATTCTATGCAAGTGCATGGAAAAGCTAATCAGGACTCATGTTTGTACCCACCTGTTAGAGTATGCATTACTCAGCGTTGCCCAACACGGCTTTATGAAAAACAGGTCGTGTCTGACTAACCTCTTATGCTACCTAGACGAGGTCACAGAGAGAGTCGACGAAGGCAGAACCGTAGAGGTGTGCTACCTAGATTTCAGTAAGGCATTCGATTCCGTAAGTCATAGACTGCTTCTACACAAGCTAGGCTTCTTCGGAATCTCAGGGGCCGTATATAACTGGATGGCGGNTTTCAGTAAAGCCTTGGATTCCGTAAGTCATAGACTGCTTTTACACAAGCTAAGCTTCTTCGGAATCTCAGGGGCCGTATAACTGGATGGCGGCATTTTTGACCAATAGGACGTTCTGCGTCAGGGTAGGAGGGCAAATGTCAACAGTCCTCCATGTCAATAGTGGCGTGCCACAAGGGTCTGTGTTAGGCCCGCTTCTTTTTCTGCTGTTCATAAATGATCTAGCAGAGATTACCAGCTCACCTTACTTCATCTTCGCTGATGATGTGAGGGTGGTTGGATTTAGTGGTAGATCACAGTTGGAAGAGGATATTGTGAAGGTGGTCAAGTGGTCCCACGCATGGGATTTGCCACTAAATGAAACTAAGAGTCAGTTGCTCTCAAGAACCCAGGAACCATTGAAGGCGTTGGGTGATTGGGGACAATTCGAAGTAGGCACTGTAACT